CAGAAATTAGGATGTGTGATTGTCCCACTATTAATGGAAATAACGCAATACAATCATTTGTGTATCAAAATTTATTTCGAGTTTGTTTATACTCTTTCTTGGATGAAATATCAATTTGGGCAAGTTATATAAAATTGGTATTAAACATTCTATTAATTGGTAATTCATTGTTGAAACTATTTAATCAACAACATGTTAAAATTGTACATTCATTCGCAATATTTTTCTTTGTAATCTTAGGTTTGTTATTCAATTTCTTTGATTATTATAAGATATAAAATAACTGATATGAATTGTCTAGATTTTCATGGTATAATTTATAGTATTTCCAATGGATTTTTTGCAACACAAACACTGACTTGCATTCTTAATTTCGTCTCTACTATATCATACTATGCTATTGTCATCACAAAAACTAGAACCAACCAATGGCGTCATTTATTCTTTTCCTTCTTTCTTTGCTTTTTGATATGGTGGTACTCTTCTCCTTCTCTTAAATCATGCTTTGTTAGGAATCTCCCATCTTCCTTTTTCTCTTCTATTTATGTCATCATCGGTGCTATCTTCTTTAACATAAGATCTTTATTTGATCTTCTTATTTGGCTTGCTACTACTAACTTAAATAATACCTCATTTTCCTTTTTATCTCTTCATCTCTTCCTTTATCTCCTTAAATTCTTTGCTGTCATTTTTGTTTTTATCTCCTTCTAATGAACTGACTTTCTCAATAATGAATAAAAAAGTTACATTAGAAAAACATGTGTCTTTCGTTTAAATATTGTTGTATTATTGTAAAATAAGTTGAAAGATATTTATTTTTAAAATATAACCACATTAAAATGTTAATGAAAGTAATTAGAACAATTGCTTAGTTCAAATAAAAAGTACAACCAATCAAATCTTTCATTTTTGTTCTTATTGTTTGAGCAGAGATAAAGAAGTATGTTGGAAGACTTGGCAAGCGTTAAAGAAGTTATCGTAAGCATCCCCATCACAAGAAGAAGAGATAGAAGCGTCGAGTTGGCAGAATGCGAGATTTAAGTCAGGAGAATTTGAGTATTTGAGTAAAAGAGAAGATTTCAAATGGTGATATATTTTAGGATAAAGAAGAAGAGAAGGTAATAAGGCTTTAGAAGTACAATATAAATCCATATTTCCATTAAGTAGATTTTGAAGGAGAATTTCAATGATGTTTTTGACTAAGTCCAAATGTTGAGACAATAACAAAGAATGATCGGTTGAAGGAGTGGTGATGATTCTTACAGATTTTAGAAGATGGCTTTTAAAAGTGAATAAGATGATTTGTTCAAAAACTGGGATAGCAGACTCTTCACCAGATTGTAAAGCATTAAACAAAAATAGTAATGTTTCATGAAGATGATTACCAAAGAAGTCATCACAAGACACCATACCAATATTACAAAAGAGAGTAAAAATAAGTTTAGTATATTTTGGATAAAAACTAACAAAATCCCATTTATGTGAAATGCAGATAGAAATAATTGTTTGCATCAATACATGATGAGTTCGATCATTATAGACATACAAAGCACCGAAAGGGATGGTATCACTTGATAAAATAGAATTAATTGATTGGATACAATCTTCTAAATATGACACCATCTCATCTTCATTTAATTCGATAATAGAAGGTAATATCTTCATTAAAGATTCACAAATGTCATGATATAATATTAATGCGTCTGGAGTTTGTATAGAATAAAGTGATCTAAAAGGTTTAATGTTTGCAATATCAGATAAGAATGAAACAAATGAAGGTAAAGATGTGTTTT